AAAACATTAACAAAGAAAACCATAACTCAAACATTAGCGTAATATGCAACATCTATCCACTAGACACTCTCAATCCACCACCTAGCAACACGCTCATGCGCAGTAGGCTGCAACAACTTGTTGGGGGGACGTTGCATAAAAAAAACAATATATAAAGATTAATCGTAACTTATTTATGTCATATCAACTTATAAATTATAAGGTGGACTAAACTATATACATTAGTAACATCAAGAATACATTCACAATCAAGTGCATGCAAACGCCTCATCCTAGGGTATGCAACTGCCCGAGGGATAACACCCGGTATAGGGGAACCAACAATACTACTGTTAGGAAATGTCTCGAAGATCCAAATCTACAAAATTAAGATGACAGACAACTTACCAAGTTAACAAAGTTACAATACTTGTTGTTTAAAAACTCTTATTAAACATAGTGTACATATCTTAAATGCATAGACAAATCCCTGCAGAGTATATGTGTGTCTACTGCCGATTCTTACCGAATTTGGGTTCAAATGGTCCTCAATCATATCAAACACAGTACACAGTTGTTTGTAAGTGAAATCCCATACCAATCGACCCCATGGGTACCTATGTCAAAAAATTACACTTAATAAGTATATGTATCATTTTGTATAATGTGGGTAAAAAACTGTTATACCTGTTAAACTCCTGTAAATTAGAGACTAGTGTCATACGTTCATTAGTAACTGGCTGTCACGGGTTTTCCCCCAAAAATCCTTGCTCTAGCATATATAGTAAGGAGACTCTCACCACGTCTTCATTGCTTAATTGATGAAGTGAGTTATTGGATACGTTTGTAAGGTCATCCATACTCACCAAACGTGAAAGTGGCACAAATGGAAAGACACGTTCTCTAAATGCTGCAAAACCAGAACTAGGATGGAAATAATCCCCGAACCGCAAGCCAGTGACCAAGCAGAATGCTTTCCTATTAAAGCAAACCCGATAGTCGCCAACCGGAAATAAAAGCTCTTCTAGGTCAACTGGATCAAAAGTAGTAGCTTTCTTGCACATAAGATAGTGACATAGTAAAGGGTGACATTCGACACCCGTCGGCATGTGTACGTAATCACCAAAACATGATTGCCTAAACATCGTCGCACAAACTGGTCGGTTTTGTAAGCGCACCATGATTTCCCGCCCAAGTTCAGGTCTGCAGGTTGTAGTAACAATCGTTGCGTATATTCTATCGTGCTACAGTCAAAATAGTTATTAGTTAGGGATTTTTGTATGTATGTTCCGGAATGGAATTAGGGTTTTTTATTGTATTCTGGATGTAGGGTTTGTTATTGTATTCCGAAATTAGGATTTTTGTATGTATATTCCGGAATCCGAAAATCGGGTACGACATTCCGGACCATAAATTCCAAACCAAAATTTTGGACCCAGTTCATTGTATTCCGGACAAGATTTTTGTATTTCGGACTTGATTTTCTGATTCCAGACACATTCCGGACTAGCAAAAAATAGGGTTTTTGATTACGATGTATCATGTAGTATAGATGTACAAGTCTATGTAATCCTATAATTGTCTTAACAAGATTAAAGTTCACAGAAAACCCTATAATACCTATATAATTGCGTAAACTAAACATTTTTTAACGTATAATAAAAAATATAAATGCATTTAATTAGAAACAAATTTGAAACTTACAAATAAAAACTGCATTTCTTCACTGCTATCGAAAGACATTTTCAGTTGTAGAGGTTTCCAGAATGGGATATCGAAGTCTAGTCCGAAACGGGTTAAATGGTATTTATAGGAGAACCAGATTACCTGGTCGGAATTACTACCCGTTTTACCGAATTTGAAATCGGGTCCGGAACAACTCATTCCGGACCAAGTGGTCATTTTGCCAAAAAAATGTTATTTTTTTAAAAAGCAACCAAAAAAGTCAATTCCCCTTTATTTTATTCTTTAAATTTAGGTATGATGGTTTCAAAAATAAACATAAGAAACTATCATCCAGGGACGTTGCCTCGTGGACCCCGCAAAGGGGGTGCAACCCCCTTGAGCCGCAATTTGGTCGTATTGAGATTAAACTCGTTTTACACAAGCTTACCTCTTAACTTGTAAATGAAATCAATAATTGAACTATATTGGTAATCTGTAAATTCTATTATACTAAAATGACATGGTGACATTAAAATCACCAACAAACCTCCATTATTTTAGTGTAACCATGAATCTACACAAACAATAATTGGAATTGATCAAATTTAGGCATACATGAAAAAATCGAAACAATTGAATTTTTATATTAGTATATTATATAGTCAAAATATTCGAGAATCATGGTATTATAAGAATTGAACCCTTCAACCCATTTGAGTACTTGAAGATAACATACACATAAACTTTAAATAAACTGTCTACTTACAAATATCTTGACACTATTATTAAGCAGAGTATCCCAATCCATTCCTGATCGTATAAAAGCCAAGTTTCGGCATCTTGAAGCCCGACTACACTTCACGATCATACATGTAATTCATTTCCTCATGTATGTGGTTATATTTTGTCAAAGGAATTATTAATAATATACATTCAACCTTCCCGTTATAGGTTTGAACACACTAACTTGGGATGATATAATGTATGTTCCAATCCTTAAGTGTGAGTTTTACTCGTTAAATCCAACTTCTAATGTCATATTAGAGGGGAATTAAGTGTCTCACCACTAACGAATTAAATAGACTTTAAATTAATCGTTATCACAAAGTTGCCTTTAGTCAAATGGTCCGCTAAATTTTGTTGCGACCTCTCAGACATCATCAAAATGACACCATTCATGATTAAATCCCTAATCATAATATGTCTAACACCCAAATGTCTAGACATCCCATTGTACACTTAGTTATAAGCCTTAGCCTAGAAATCTCATAAACCTAATCCCTTAGCCATTTGGCCTTTTTACCTGCTATGGCTAACGCGCCAAATTCAGATTCCATTTTTAAGTTTGTTATGCATGTTTTCTTCTTAGATACCCGTGAAATAGCACATCCCCCAAGCAAGAATACACAACCACTTGTTGAAGATGATCTTCAAGATGGGTTATCCAACATGCATTTGAATATTCTACTAAAACCGAAGGATACCGTAGATAACATAGTCTATAATTCATGGTCCCCTTTAAGTACTTTAACACTCTTTGAGTTGCTTGCCATTGTAGAGTACTAAGAATGCTAGTATACCAATGCAACCTCCCAACTACATAAATGATGTCAGGGCGGGTGTTTGTCATGTCATACATCAAGTAGCCTATCACTTCAGATTATTTTAATTATTATATTTCCTTGGTTTTATTTGGCATTAACTTCACGTTGGGATCCATATGAGTTCTCACGGGAGAACACTCACTATAATTAAACTTATCAAAAAATTTCTCAACATAGTGTGTTTGGGAAAAACTTGATGACAACAAACTTTTCAATTCATCAACATGAAGTTGATCAATACCGAAAATCAACATATCATCAATAAAAAGGCAAATAAATTATCACACTGGTACCAGATGAGTTAAACCAAATATAAACACATTTGTCCGATTGGTTCAACTTGAAACCACATGACAAAATAACTCCATCAAACTTTTGATACAATTGTTTGGGTGCTTGTTTCATCTTGTACAATGATTTGACATGTTTACATATTGTATGCTCATTACCGGGCATAACAAAACCTTCCGATTGTTCCATGTAAACTTCTTCAAGAAGGTCTTCATTCTCGATCAAGACAACGATAACCGTGGTGTGTAAGGTCGTAACCTAGGAAGACATAGGGATCGGAGCGAATATCCATTTTGTGAAGATTATGGGGTCACGGATGTAGAAAACAAAGACAATTGAATACCTTTAGGAAAAGGTAGTCAGGAGAGAGATTAAAAAGACTCGGATGGAGAACGATTTTGAGAAATAAAAGAGGGAATTTGGTTTGAGGTAAACTGCATTTTTAAAAGCAAAGTGCCAAAAGCATTAAGGAGCCCATAGTGGGCTAGTAGAGTGAGATCGGTCTCTACTACATATAAATTTCGACGTTCAACCATAATGATCCATGTTAGAAAAAATGATCAACAAATAAGACAATGTAACAATGAGGATCTAATGGGAGCATGTCCCCAAACATCACAAAACACAAGGTCTAGAAAAATTTGTTTCTTTTAAAGAAAAACTCACATTTCAAAAAATGGACAAGCAGTACAATATTATGTGGTTGTACTAGAACAAAGTAAAGAAAACCTAAATAAAATGGACCTTAACGGAGGAGAGAGTCTTTCCTTCCCAACCTAGTCAACCCACTCTCATATCAGCTCTACATCAATTTTTCTCTTTCCCATCTTTCCCAACACATAACACACGGAAACTCTATATTCCCAACCCTCCCAACCCACTAAGGAGGGAGTGGTCACGATTCCGATCACCCTAAGAGATGCAACGGTTAACTATTCTCATACGGGAAGTGGTGGGTGGCTAGAATGATTTTGAAAGTAGAAAATTTCCTTAGAATATTTTTGAACAAACAAGAGATCTGTTGAGAAAGATTTGGCCAACACATAACACACGGAAACTCTATATTCCCAACCCTCCCAATATGTTGATACTGGTTATGCTTTAAACAAATGTTTCACTAAACCATGCTTGATTTCTTTGATAACCATGCTTAATTTCTTTGATAACCATGCTTAATTGTTTTAAAACAAATGTACACCCTTTATAATATGCCATCAAAATGGTATGTTATCCACAAAATCTTGAATCTTGAAAAATCCTTCAATTACAGAGGAAAGTAATCCACAATTGTGTGTCTTGAATCCTTTTGTACACTAACTACCTTTTTAATATGCCATCAAAATGGTATGCTTTAAACAAATGTCTCACTAAACCATGCAATTAAGCTTTCTTTTATCAAACATATCCAAAAAGTTTGTGTAAAATTATGATTATTGTGTCGACCACAACCAGGAGTACTGAAAATGCAGCAAAAACCAATAACTCAAAGAGAAATATGAATTAGAAGCAGAATTCGAAAGAATCGATAAATGATTTCAAACCAACATGACTCTAAGCCTACAAATACGCAATCAAATCTAAAACTGAAGTTAGAAATCAATCCCAGCACATCAAGATTGGTGCAACAATTGATGATGATCATCATGAAGGTCACTTAGTTTTTCACCAGTCTGCTGGATCTTCTGATTGGTGTCAGAATCACTTCATCTCTCTACAAAACAAAACAAAATCAAGTCTAATAAAGTATTATATAAAATAAACATAATCCAGTATGTGCTATAAATTGGAATTCTCAACACTCACATGCTTAATGGGAATTTTTTCAAACGTAGTGAAGCTCCCATAAGAAGCAGAACCCATAGAGAATTCTGATGAAGAAGCCAAAGAGTCTCTTTTGTTGTTGATAGGTTTCTTCTTGTAACCCTTCTGAATGCTAGACTCTGAAGAACACGAGCTTTCTTCTTGCAACTCTTTATCATTATCTGCATCAAGCTTAGTAACACGTGCAGTGGCAATTGTACCACTAGATTTCCTTTTAATCAAGTAAAAAATAGCTGCCATGGCAACTATCACTATGGAAAAACCAGTCATATAGATTGGGTTGACTGATCTGGTCAACGAAGCGGTCAAAGTTTCTGATTCAGCACTAGCATCTGCTAAACTAGACTCGATTTTAAGATCATTCACAGCCATTTCACTCGACCCATCTTCAAGATTCAAACTTTTCTCCAAAATAACATCATTGGGTTGAATCTCATTTGGGTCTTCCATCAAAATCTCATCTTGTACATCAACTTCCAGTTCTTCATACGCTTCTTCTTCCACCATCTCAAAGTTTTCTTCCATTTCTTCCTCAAATTCTTGAATTTCTTCAAAATTTTCAACATCTGCATAATCTGCCACGATTTGCCATTCTTCTTGGATGGGAGATGGGGTCAAGTTAAAGAACTGTGTGGAGCTATGGGTTGAACTAAAATGGGATAACTGGCCGGAGAGGTAAGAAACGAAAATGTTTGACCACTGCTCAAGACTTTCAACAAAACCATCTAAAGAAACTTTAACAGATGCAGCCAACTTCAAAGATTCATCATAAATCTCCGAGAAGCTTACATCCTTATAGATTGGCAAATCCATGGGTGGTGAATCAGTAAAAGAAACTGAAAAACAGGCTACCAGGAACATCACAGAAATGCACAATATAGTCTTTGATCTTGTGAAAAACATTGGTTTTGATGTTGTTTTTAGCTTGGAATCAGACTGTTTTTCTTCAAAAATGATTTTAGACAAATTGTCTGATGAACCATGGCCTAGATCTTCTAGTTTCTCTTCTTCTTCTTCTTCTTCGACTTTTGCTTCTTCTTTTTCTTCTTCTTCTTGGTCTTTTAGCTTTGCTTCTTCTTCTTCTTCCTCTTTTTGTTTTGCTTCTTCTTTTTCGGTGTCTGATGAAGTATCAGAAAGATTAAAGTCATCTTCAAGACCAATAACAGCATCTTCTCCATAACCATCATTCCCATCGACTTTGTTTAGTAGAAGTTCAATTCTTGGGTTTGGTTTGTAACGAAGAAACTGAGGTCTAGGGGAAAGAAAATTCTTTTTTGGATCATATGGAGGAAGAGGGTCGGCATCAAAAGGGGCAATGATAGGTGAAGTTTGTGGAGAACAACAGAAAGGTCTAACCTTTACCAAATCAAAATCTTCAGTAACATCAGTAGAATCATCAATCGAAACGAAAGTTACCTTACGAACGGGAGGAGTTTCGAGAACAACTTCTTTTTGTTCAAGGGTTACCGATTCATTTGAATCCTCTTCAGTCATGGTAGGTTGATCCAACGGTTTTGCTTCAGATTTCATTACGAAATCTTTGTCCAAGAACTGGATCGAAGTTCTTACCACCTCATTCTTTTCACCAAGAACTTTCTTTCTTGGTGATGGAGTGAACTTTGAAGCAGCTGAGATCGTTGGTGCCATGAAACTCTTTTCATATGATCTAGCAGGTGAACGAACTATATCTTTGTGATTCTCTTTTCCATCCTGAAACATCGAACTACCAGTGCTTTTGCGAAGTACTGAACCTCTTTTCGTATGATCTAACAACATAAAAAAAACTAAAAATCAAAAACCCAATTTACAGAACAAAAACTCAAAATCATGAAACCAAAGATCGTTTATACCTGTTGTAGCAGGGGTGTTTGCAGGGGTAGGTGGATTTACGCTTCTAGGGTTTACCGCAGCATTGGGTCTGGTAAAGGGGTTGCCACTGAAGCTCCTTCTGGTGGTCGTATTTGTCTCCGAATTTCTGAAACCCCTTGCTGAAAGTGGGGAAGGAGATCTGTTTGATGCGAAATTCGCCATTAACGTATATGAATCTTGTCCAATTTGGGAGAGAAGAAAAATGAGTAGAGAATGCTGGAGAAAGAAATCTTGATTTTAGGAGTAAATTTGAATTAGTTTGAGTTTGTAACGTAAACAGGGGATGAGAATTTGAAGAGCTTTAAAGGTGTTTTAATTTTGACCGTTGGGATTTAAAATGATTGTTTATTATAAATTGAAATGGAAAAGGGATGTAGCCGTTGTGTTTTAGCTTTTCTCTTTGCTCAGTTCTTGCGTTGGTTGTGCGTTCTTGAAAGAGTCAAAGGAGTGAAAATGGCAACCGGTAAAGTGAAAATGGCAAGCGGTAATTACCCGTTAGGGTAATTTTTTAAAAATCTTTTTATTTACTTATTTTTGTTTTGCTTATTTATTATTGGAAATTTAAGTAAGCTAATTATCTAACCATTATATTATAAATGGATTTTTGAGATGAAAATAATTTTTTTTAGTTTTTTAAAAATAATCATTTTCTCTGTAATATTGTAATTATGTTCATATTTTGGAGTTTTTTTTTTCAAATGAACCTTTCTATTTTTTTCTAGATTCTGAATGTTACATTTCGAAAAGTTTAATATCATTGTTTTCAATAAAAATTTCTAATTTTATATATTAATATTGTATATATTTCATATCACTATGTTTGTGTAACTTTTTGTTACATTTAAATACAAAAAATAATTTTTTTTTCGAAATTCCGGAATTCTTCGTCGGATATCAGACTTGTTCATGAATTCTGGAGTTTTTTTCCGAATCCGAAATTTCAGTCCGAAATCATTCCGAAATATACTTTTTTGTCCATATGTTTTCCTTGGTCCGAATAACTATTTCGGACCAAATGGTTATTTTTGTTAAAAATAATTTTTTGTGGTTATTTTCTTTAAATACACGTTAAAATGTTGTTAGATTACTTAATTTCTCTTTATTATTATATGTCCAATGAAATATATTTTGCCAACCATTAACTATTAAGGTATTTTTAAAAGAAAATGGCAATCTATTCACTTATTTTTTGTTTTATTATTATTTATTATTTTATGTTCAATCAAATATATTATATCTCTAACAATTGATAGGGTGTGAATTTTACTAATTTAATTAATAAATTTAGATAATCTTTATAAATTATGTGAATTTTTATTGCAACCATCTTTCATCTTAGACATGTAAGTGTGGTGACAACATCACAGGATGTGGTTAATGCCATGTGACATCGTATGCATGCGATAACACCATACCGTGGTGCAAAAATGGTGCGGTAATATGTGTCTGCAAAATACCACGAAATCCTCAACATCCTCCGGAAGGGTCAATACCGGGGCCTCACATAACCTCTATCGTATTGTCTCAAAAGTCGTCTGCTGCTCAGGGCCCCATCGGAAATCCACTCCCTTCCTCGTCAGACGAGTGAGGGGTACAACAATCTTGGAGATATCCTGGATAAATCTCCGATAATATCCCGCTAAACCAAGAAAACTCCTGATCCCAGAGGGACATTTCGGAACCTCCGTCTGCATCACGGACTCGATCTTGGCCGGATCGACGAAAATCCCATTTTGGTTAACGAGATGTCCCAGGAACTGGACCTCTCGTAACCAAAACTCACACTTCGAGAACTTGGCATACAACCGTTCTCACCACAACACTCCCAAAAGCTCTCGAAGGTGCTCCTTGTGTTGCTCTCTGGTCTTGGAATACACCAAGATATCATCAATGAACACAATAACTGATCGATCGAGCATCGACCTGCACACCTGATTCATCAAATCCTTAAATACCGTAGGCACATTGGTGATTTACTGTAGATCATTCCAAATCCGCTTTTCGTTTGAAATCGAACGATACCGTGGATTGGCGACACGATCGCATCGAACTTTCTCATTGCACTTCTTCCAAATATAATGTTGTATGGTGATGTTAATTGTACGATTGCGAAGGTTATCGTCTGTGCATTTTTGGCTTATGTTGCCTGATCCATTATAGTTAATGGAACGAACAATATCCCTTTTGGCCAAACAAAGTGTCCCGCAGGTTATATTCCCTGCTGGTTGTTGCATCCTTTTCCTTATTTGTTCCGGTAGTTGTGAAAAGCAATGTTCATACATGATTTCGATCGAACTCCCACTTTCACAGTATATTCTATGAATGCCTACGTCACATATTTGCCCATATATAACTACCGGTCCATCTTCATGGAGGTGGGGAAATATGATATGCTTCTTTATTAAATATACTATGTAGTTTGTCGGTATCCATTAACCGCAATGGGTAGCTAATTTATGTTGCTTGACTATCTGGCTATCGGGTATTTCCTTTTGTCACCTAGGAATACTTATGATACGGATGACACCAATATTAATATGGCAAACTCCAGGCGGATGGTGAGCTCTTTCATCCCGGAGGGTATCGTCGTATAGGCATCCGAGAATTCAATATGCATAAGAATAACAAGAACTTGTCAGACAGCCATACCGAGGGTTGGACCCCAGTATAGCTCTCTGACGCCTAATTTAGATTGCGACCTTTTGGTATTGCTTTTGTGTCAAGGAATATGTGTTCTTCTTACTTACCTAGTTAGCATGCCTCCCGACGATATTTATAGGTTGTCCGTAGTTAGTAAAGTCCACTTCTTAGACCGGTCCTCAACCCATTACCCTGTCTACGAGCGGTCGCACTTCCTGTCCTCTCCTTGTTTATTTTATTTGCTTTGTACTATTTGGCATATTTTCTGGGATACGATTCTGATGCTTTCGTACGATGTATTCGAATACATATTTATAACAAGTGGGAATGCTTGTAAAGCCAACCTGGTGAGTAGCGGTCCAGTAGTGGGTTTCCTCGCACTACCGAACTGGTACACCATTATATGGTTGTTGTAGGAGATGAGCATAGTCATACCGATACCTATTCAAATTTCAGATCCAATAAAAATGAGTTTTTAAAGTCGTTTTCTTCATAGAAATCATTGTTCTGGTTTTCCATTTTGATGCAGTTTCAAGAAGAAACAGAGGAAATACCCAAAATGTTCCACTCGATAATCTCATCAACAAAGGAAATCCCCATATCCCTCTTCTATGACTCTCTCTCTCTCTCTCACTCATTCTATCTTACTCTCTCTCTCTCTCTCTACCTTTTCGCTGGAGCTCCTCAGTTATTGGCAAGCTTGGCTCCTCAGATCATCATCAACATCAACCACCATCTCCGACTCCACAAGCTTGTCTTTCTTCTTGCATTGAAGATCACGAGAGTTATTGGCATAATTGAGGTCCAATACAGCTTAAATAATGGAGCATGTATTGCTGACACAAGCTGGAAGGGAAAAACCCAAGTGGTGGTGATGTTGTAGCCACATTGGAAGCAATAGCGGTGGTTGTGGCTTTTTTTTGGTTGATCGGATCTAGCAATGTTGGTATCAATCTCAGCCACCGGATTCCTTCTGTAGGGAGAATGCTCTGCCTTCTTTGAATTACTTCGACTTAGTGTGAAGAGAGAAGAGAGCGAGAGAGAGAGAGATAGAGAAGAGAGAGAGAGAGACAGAGAGAGAGAGAGAGCAGTGTGTGTGTGAGAGAAAGTGAGAAAGAGTCTCATAAAAGAGGGATGTGGGTGAGAATTAAAAAAATAAAATAATAAAAAAAGGAACAATACCTGATAGAACGAAAATGCCTTGACTTTTAAAGAGATGTGAGACTTAACAAATGTTTTGGATGGCCAGTTAACTCAAGGTACCAATTTTGCATCGAAGTTTCAATTTTGGACCATCCTTGCATGGAATTTTTTTTTTTTGCCTAAAACTGTAGTTTTTTGGTAAAAACCATAAGGACCAATTTTTGCAATTTACTCAATAAAAAATAAAGAACTCTCTAATTTAAAGAAAAAAAATCATAATAACGCATGCAAAAAAAATGGATATTTTTCAAAAAATTTAAAAAATATTACTAAATCAGGTGTGAAATTTTAAAAGTTCAATTAGTAAAATAAAATAATTATAAATTTAAACGTGTAACTATATAAAAATAATGTTAATATATCAAAATATGTTTTAAATGATCTAAGCCTAAACTTCAAATTCATATTTTTTTTTCTTTGTTTGTAATTATATTACATGTATAAAATATAAATTATATATACAATATATTTGTCATATAACATATAAACAGAGATATTATAGATAGATAAAATACTTAGTAAAAATAAAGTATTATATTAATGGGACAGTAACAAATGTTATCCATGCCTACCCATCTCAAGGTTTAACAAGATTAAAAGCGAATTAGCTACAAAAAAAATTAAAATTCTAAAACACACCACTAAGATTATTATATCTCAATTTTGACAATATTGTTTTACCACATTTCGTTATTTTAATTAATGTAACAAAAAAATCATAGTAAATGTTTTTAATGTTAGAAAAATACAAACTATTTACTATTATATTCAATTTATGGAAAAAAAATATCTTTACATTAAATAATAAATGTTTCAATAATTATAGTGTTGATTTACACATTTAATACAATGAATATTTTCCATATATAATAAAGATTATTAATTAGTGGAATTGATCAAATTGCAAGAATGGTCCCTGTGGTATGTAAAAACTAGCAAGTTTGGACTCGCAAGGGAGGTCAAAAAGTTTGATTTTGTTGAGAGTTTGGTCCAAAAATTTTGAAACTTTTTAAAATGACGGATTTGCCCTTGGTATTTTCATTTTTTAAATTTTTATTACATAAATCAAAAAAAGAAAAAGAAAAAAAAAGAAAATCTCTCTCTTTCTCTCTCTCTCTCTATCACGAACAAGAGGGGCATAATTTCAAGCCCAAAATCCATTGTTATACATCGATTTTACGCCTCAATATTTCAATTTCTACATATGCAGAGTTGGAGGCATTAACTATCATGAGTTGTAAGATTTTATATAAAAGCTTCAATCGTTTTCTCTCTGTTTGTCTTGCATCGTTGGAGAACAACTTCCTGAGAGCCACCACCACTTTGCCAGAGTTCATTATCACCGCCACTTTGCTGCCCACCACACAACCCACCGTTAATGAGATCTCGATTCACCCTCATCCACCGTTTGAATCACCCACCCTATTTG